CCCTCCCTGTCTGAAATCCTCCAGAAGTGAAACAGTCCTGGAGATTATCATCTGGGGCTTGGAGTGGGAGTGGAACAGGTCCAGGTGACAGGGTACTGCTGAGTCCTCACTGGGTCTTTTGGGGCCTGAGGCAGCAGGCATGACTGGCTGAATGGGGCTCAGGGAAACCATCTTATCTGCAGATAACCAACTTATCTTATCCTGAGGACCTTTCAGTGGCTTTTGGTCTTCTGGTTCTTTCTGGACCTCACCAGTTTGTGACTAGGCACAGACCAAGCCAGACATCATGCACTTGAGGGCTGATGGAGCTCCAGGCCCAGCGTTCCCCACTTCCTAGATCCCCATGATTCAGAGAGCCCTGGGGTTCAGAATGGGCCCAGCTGAGCACGGAGGAGACAGAAAAGCCCAAACAGAAATGGGTCTGGGTCCTGTCTGTTCTGTGGTTTCTAGGGCAGAGTAGAGGCATCTAGGAGCCTCAGCCTGCCCTCTGATTTTCTTCAATGAGCAAAATAAATCGAGACCAGCCAATGTGATTTTTTTAAAGTCTAAAATAATGGTTCTCAAAGTATGATCCCTGGACCAACAGCATCAGCCTCTTGGAACTTGATAGAAATGTGCATTTTTTAGCCTTACCTCAGACTTACTGGGTTCCCAGAGATCTGTGTTTTAAGAAGCTCCCTGGGTGCCCCTGAAACTGCTCCAGTTTGAGAACCACTGGTCTCATGGTTCTGCATATTCAGCGGTGCTCTGGGCTAGACTGGTTTGGACAAACACGTCTAACTTCCGCAGGCATAGAAATGGGATACTTTCTGCTTCTGTCAACTTCTCAATGGTTGCTCAACGTAAAGTTGTAAAGGTCTTCTAATTATTACTCCAAATGAGTGGAGTAATAAGGGGGTGTCAGGCTTCTGAACGGGCATTTTGACTCATATGGCATTGTGGGGACAACTTTCCAAGCAGCAGGCCAAAAGCCTCCTGTCCACGACGGGAACGCGCATAAAAATAGTTTGGCTGTTTCCAATTAGGACCAAATGGAAACCATCTGGACTCCTCACCCAGGAGGTTGATGTAAATCAGCTCAATCTGACCCTTTATTTTTAAACAAATAGAACTCTTCTACCAAGACCAAACTCACTCCCCAAACAAACACCTTATGACTGCAAAAGCAATTGTCCACTGCAGGAAGCTGTTTTTTAATTTCCTTTGTGAACTCTGGAAAGCATGACAGGAAACTATGCAATAAATATGTATTAGATGCAAAGTTGCTTCTATTGTTTGAGGCAAAGGATTCCTTGGGAGACAAAAGACCTTCACGACTCCCATTGTCTACTGGGTTCAGTCCAGACTCTTGGCCTGACATGCAAAGTCCTCCCTACCTCATGCCAGGGCCACCCTCCCCACATCCTCTTGTTCTGGCTGAACGTGTGGTTCATGGCTTGCATTGTGAGTGTCCTTCTTCCTCACGTAAGTCCTTCTTTTCTTTCCTCACCAGGCCTGCTCGTTCACAAAGCCTTCTCCCCAGGTGCACCCCTGGGGGAGAACAGCCTTCTCTGAACCCAGTGTCCATGTTTGGCCCTTGCAGGTGCCACCCTGTGTGGCTGTTTGTTGCACAGGTGCACAGCCCATCTCTAAATTACATTCAGAGGCCCCTTGTCATGGGTTGAACTGTGCCCCCTTTGGAAAATTCATATGTTGAAGTCCTAACCCCAATAGCCAGAAGGTGCGTTCATGTGGAAGTAGGGTTGTTGTAGATACGGTTAGTTAAGATGAGGTCATAGTGGAATAGTGTGGGCTCCCAAGCCAATATGACTGGTGTCCTTATAAAAAGGGGAAATATGGACACAGGGAGAACGCCATGTGAACACAAAGGCAAAGATTGGGGCAATGCATCTACAATCCAAAGAACAGCAAAGATTGCCTGCAGACCACCGTAAGGTGTGAGAAAGGCATGAACAGACTCTTCCTCACAGCCCTCTGGAGGAACCAATCCTGCCAACACCTTGACTTCATGAGTTCCAGCCTCCAGAACTATGAGGCAGTGTTGTGTAAGCCACCCGGCCTATGCTACTTTGTTTTATGGCAGCCAGAACAGACTAATACAACCCTTGAGGCAGCTGCAGTGACCAGAAGATAAGTCTTTGGGGCAGAGACCACGGATATTCTGCTACATCCCTCACATACCAGCCCAGAACGGGCCGTGAGAAATTTTACCCCATCAATGCCGACTGAAAGAATGGCCACAGGCAACCTGCAATTCTTCAAGGCGTCTAACCTCTTCCCTGGAAAACTGCAAGGCACTGGACTCCCGAGGGGGCATGGTGAGAGGGTCCATATGGCTCACAAAGGTCAAAAGAAGAAAGTCTGGTGCCTTTGTGCCAGGGTTTGTTTGTTTGTTTGTTTATTTATTTTGAGACAGAGTCTCGCTTTGTTGTCCAGGCTAGAGTGAGTGCCGTGGCGTCAGCCTAGCTCACAGCAACCTCAAACTCCTGGGCTCAAGCAATCCTCCTGCCTCAGCCTCCCGAGTAGCTGGGACTACAGGCATGCGCCACCATGCCCCGCTAATTTTTTTTATATATTAGTTGGCCAATAAATTTCTTTCTATTTATAGTAGAGACGGGGTCTTGCTCCTGCTCAGGCTGACCTCGAGCAATCCTCCCGCTCGGCCTCCCAGAGTGCTAGGATTACAGGCGTGAGCCACCTCGCCCGGCCTGTGCCAGGTTTTAGTAGCTGTAAGGCATTGTAATTTGGGCCTCAACATAGCTATTATTTAAAAGCTGAAGGATGAGTTGTCGTGTTGCTCTTTTTTTGACTTTTCTCTCGAACAATCCATCTTCTAAGCGCGGTTAACACCTGCAGGGCCTACAGAGATGAAGAGTGAGGGCTTGGGTGGGGGTGGCACACAGGAAGAGTCACATTCACAGAGGCCCCACAGCAGACTGGTGTCATTGCCTTTTATGTGTTAGAAGAGTTGTCTTGTTAAATGTAAAGACTTCGGATATTGTGCAATTTATTTTAACCTTTGCCATTAATTTGTTTCTTTAAAAAAACAATAAATCAGGGAGGCTTAGCAAATAGCAGTGGTCAGGGCCTCTCTCCAGCCTTGAGAAGCACTGAAGCTCCCACATCGCCTTTCCTGTTTGGTCTTTCTGCAACGCCGAGCTAACCCGCAGTGTGATGCAGTTAGACACTCCATCTTTGTTCTTTTGCCACTTGCTGTTACGTCTAGATGAAGAGTTAGAATTGGTGACCCAGCACTCCTCTGCCCTCAGGTGTCATGTAGCCAGTGCAGGGTCATCCTCTGTAGGGCCACCCGTGCTGGGAGTGGCGATCATCCTTATCCTCACGGGAACCCCGGCCAACTCCTCTGAAAGGATTTTTGGTTGAAAATATCCCCAAATGGTAACTGTCTGTTATGGACTGAATGTTTGTGTCCCCCTAAAATTCATATGTTGAAATCCTAAACCCCAACATGACGGTATTAGGTAGTGGGGCCTTTGGGAGGTGATGAGGTCATGAGGGAGTATTCCCTCATGGATGGGATTTGTGCTCTTATAGAGCCACCAGGGAGCTCTCTAGCCCTCTCTCGGGCCTGTGACAACACTGATAAAAGGTGGCTGTCTCTGAAGCAGGCCCTCACCAGACATTCGGTCGTCCAGGGCCTTCATATTGGCACTCTGCTCGAATCAGCCTCCAGAACTGTGAGAAATAAATGTTTGCTGCTTAAGCTACCCCGTCTATTGTATTCTGTTATATAGCAGCCCAAACCGATTAAGACACCACCTAAAACAAATGAGAACCTAGCACGGTTCTTTCTTTTTTTTCCCTTCTACTAGGTTTTCTAAAATCTACTAGCACTATCCAGTGGAAAGACAATATTTGCATTGACAATAGAGACAGGGTATGATAAATTTTCTCACTTTGAATTTTCCTTTGGCATTTTAGATCATAAGAATTTGTAATTTTCTTTCTTTCTTTTTCTTTTCTTTCTTTTTTTTTGAGACAGACTGTCACTCTGTTGCCCAGCTAGAGTGCCATGGCATCATCATAGCTCACTGCAGCCTCAAACTCCTGGGCTCAAGCGATCCTCCTGCCTCAGCCTCCCAGAATACTAGGATTACAGGTGTGAGCCACCACACCAGGCCAAATTTGTAATTTTCTAATTCGGTGAGACTGCATAGAGGAGATATAAGGATAATTCCAGGACGGAAAAACGACCACACAAAAACAGATTAAAATTGAAGAAGAGAAAGCCAAAGGTGACAGGCTTGATTGTAAGGGCCAGTTGCCTTTACCCAAACTAATGGTATAAAAAACCATGAAATGGACTAAAACAGAACAACACAAATTTAGTTTAGCTTCCATGACAGTTTCCCAAAACTGTTGGCGACACAACCAGTGATAATCTTGTGCTTTCTCTTTAGAATTTCAAAGCAGTGAAGCTGGCATGGAACGTAGGAGGCTGTGAGCACAGAGTCCTCATTTTGCAAAGCAGGGTGCTGAGAGCCAGGCATGAGTGGAAGGGTCAGAATAGACTTCTGGTCCCTCACACTGAGCTGGGAACCTTTAACACTCGGACAGCTTCTTACTTAGTGTAACCTTGCTCTGCGGTTATGGAGTTAGTGATTTCTTAAAACTTCTTCTAAATCACTCAGTTTCTGATTTTAAGTAACAATATAGGAGGGAAGTCTGCAAGCTAAGCGTATCAGATCCTGCTGGTTGTTAATTGCAGAAATGCTCCCAAACCAGCCTAGGCCCCACAGTCCCTTTTTTTGAATGCTGAACGCGCCAAAGACTAATTCCTCTGGTGGCCATGGCAAGGCCGTTCTGTGCTTGGTTTACATGAGGTCACGAGACATTGAGTTTTCTTTTTTCTCCACTTGAGTTTTTCTCTCTGTTTGGGGCAATTACTTAGTAGTGAGAACACACAGCCCAAGAAAGGAGAAAGTGATTTAGAAGATGAAGGAAGTGGAAGAAATAGTTGAAACAACAAACAAAAATACCTTTTTTTCTCCTTTTCTTCCCTGAAGTAGTTTTCACTGTTATAGCTTCAGATGATTTTGTAATCTGGTTTAAAGTTGAACTTCCTCTCTGTCTGTCTGGTTGGAAAAAAAAGAGATTTAAAAAAAAGCAGGCTGTTTAAAGTCAAATGAATGGGTTTTTGACATACTTTGATACTGGCTATTGTTTTTATTTTATGTACACTTTGGGCACAGATACTTCTCACAAGAGAGAATTTTCTGACCTGCCCAAGATCATATTCACCTCAGTTCAGGCCTGTGGTTTCGTGTTTCTCTCCTGGAAGACAGGAGGTGAACACACGATCAAGTAGGGCCCCAGAACCATCCTGCCAGGCCTCACGTTAATTCTTCTTTACACACACAGTGGCCCTTCTATAAAAGTAGCTCCAAATCCCTAAGATTACTGAGCAGGGAGGAACACTTTTTGGCACGTGTAAAGCAATATATTAGAATATTATCGCTCTGGAGTCATTCTGGACTCTTCCTTTCTCCTGCACCCTACCAATGCATAGGAGATGGAGGAGTGCAACATCTGACCACTTCTCACACCTCCCTGCTATGACTCACCTGGGTAGGCACCTCTCTCCTGGATGCCAACAGCCTCCCACGGGTCTCCCTGCCCACCCTCTCCTCACCCCCGGGCTGTTTGCCAGATTGATTGAGGGGCTATTCTCAAACCTGAGGCCCATCAGTCATTCCTCTGCTCCTCACTAGCTAACAGGCCCTTCAGGCTCCGGCCTTACTCTCTGCACAGGCAGGCGCCCTCCTGCTGCTCCTGAGTGCAAAGGCCTTAGGGCCTGGGACAGGCACTTCCCTCTCTTCGGACAGGCAGTTTCCTCTGCCTGGAATGTTCTTCCCCACTTACTGGCAGGGCTCACTCTCTCACCTCCTGTGTCTGTACTCAGATGCCACCCGTTCAGGAGGTCTGTGCTCAACTGTCTACTTACAACCACATCCCATCCATCTTCCTTCTCCAGGTTCTCACACTCACTTACCGGGCTTTGCTTTTTCTTTTTCGATAGCGATTGCCACCCTCTAACAAACGATAGCATGCAGATGTTTATTACAACTTTAAAAAATTGTCTGATTCCCTTGCCCCCCACCACGCATGCACCTGCACAAGCACGCTGAATGCCCCTCTTCAAGCTGAGAGCTTCGTCTGTTTTATGCACTAAAATATCCCAAGCACCTAGATGAATATTTGGCGCACACACACAGACATACACACACGGACACACACAGGATGAAGGAAGGAAGGAGCATCATTATTAAGATTGCATTTATATGTTACAACAGGTAATTAAGAAAACAAACTGTCCTTGCGTGATGAGGCCTTTGGGCCCTTTGGCTGTCAGCAACAGAAAGCCACTGTGCATGACTCTGGCAGGGAGGAGAAGTTACAGGGAGGCCTGGGTGTAGCTCACAAAACAGGAGAGAAAACCAAACACTTGAGTCTTACAAAGCGGTATTCTCAAAATACTTTTGCTCTTAGGACATCCTAGAGGAATACTGAAAAGCTTATGTGCTATCTTGCACATAGTTAGGTTGGTATCTACATTTTTCATTGTAAGTTTTACAGTTTCAAAGGATGAGATTTCTCCTCAAAGGAGAATGACGACTATTGACATTTAAAAATAAAATCTGTTATATTATTCTCTCAAGTGGATTGAATGATATCTAAACTCCTAGCAATTTGATACTCATCATCATTCATTAGATTACACAAACAACACAAAACATGAGCAAACTCTTCTCTAGTAATGGAAAATTTTACACCATTCCCTTTTCTTCTTGTGCGTCTGTTGTATTTCCATTCTACTTACTCTGCAGAGTTTTATATGCAAGAGTCTTTTATAGGTCATGCTGTGATACTTCTCTGTAATAAGAAGGCTACATATACAACTATTTAAATTTAAAAATTTCTTGGGATCATAAGGCTCTAAAGTATTAACATTTCTTCTGCACTTATTTTATCTCATCTTCTGTGGTTAGGAATATATAATTGCTCAATACAATGTATTTTACACATACTGATAAATCCTAATTAAATATAAAAACAAGACTGTATTGAACACATTTCTCAATGGGATGGATGGCGCTGCTTTATTTGTTTGTTTTTACAATCAATTCATGTATTCATTGAAGAATATTACTGCTAGCCTGAGGCAGAGTTCAGCACCAATTCATTTCTACTTTTCATTGTTACAGTTTCAATGTTGAGAAACTGGGAATGGTGGAATAGAGTTGCCAGATTCAGTCCCCTCTCCTGCCCAATATAGGACTCTCAGCTGAGGTCAAATATCAGCCATGAAAAGCCATTTATAGGGGAGTAAGCAGTGGTTGTTCTTTTTTTTGATACAGAGTCCCACTCTGTTGCCTGGGTTTGAGTGCTGTGGCCTCAGCCTAGCTCACAGCAACCTCCAACTCCTGGGCTCAAGCAATCCTCCTGCCTCAGCCTCCCAAGTAGCTGGGACTACAGGCATGTGCCACCATGCCCGCCTAATTTTTTCTGTATATTTTTATTTGGCCAATTAATTTCTTTCTATTTATAGTAGAGACAGGGTCTCGCTCTTGCTCAGGCTGGTCTCGAACTCCTGAGCTCAAATGATCCGCCTGCCTTGGCCTTCCAGAGTGCTAGGGTTACAGGCGTAAGCCACCGCACCCAGCCACAGCGGTTGTTCTTGTCTGTACTGCATTTGTCCTTCCATCTGTCTGCTCATTGGGGGGCTGCCGCACCACTCTACGAATCGTGGGATGCTGGCAGGGCGGCTGTCACAGTGACCCAGCTGGCCCACAGGACAGGTGTGTGATCATTTCTAGCCAGTCATTGTTCACCATGGCCTGGGCCACAGAGACTGGGCCAAGGGTAGGTCTGTGACCCAAGGAGGGCCAATTAGAACCTTCCTGTGGGATTTGACCCATGGTCACTGGAGGAAAGGAGCTCACGCTTTCTGGTTGATTCCAAGTCCTGAGTATACAGCCCTGGGACTGTTGGCAGGCGCATCAACTAACTGCCTTTTCCTGCTTGGAGAAGGCCAAGTTGACTGGGGAGGAACAAGGCTGCCCTCTGAAGAGAAGTAGAGCCAAGAGCAGCAAGCCCTGGGTCTCCCGATAACATGGTGTGAGCCACTGAATTCAGCCATCTCTGACAACAGCTGTACCCAAGGACATCTCAGTCATGTGAGCCAATAAACCAATCTTGTTCTTTAATCCTGTTTGGGTTGGTTTCACTTCTAACCTACACAGTCTGATTAACATGTTGTGCTAGTTTCTGGGCGTGGTGGCTCACACCTATAATCCTAGCCCCTGGGAGGCCGAGGTGGGCGGAGCGTTTGAGCTCAGGAGTTCGAAACCAGCCTGAGCAAGAGTGAGACCCTGTCTCTACTATAAATGGAAGGAGATTAATTGGCCAACTAATATATATAGAAAAAAAAAATTAGCCGGGCATGGTGCCACATGCCTGTAGTCTCAGCTACTTGGGAGGCTGAGGCAGGAGGATTGCTTGAGCCCAGGAGTTTGAGGTTGCTGTGAGCCAGGCTGACGCCACGGCACTCACTCTAGCCTGGACAACAAAGTGAGACTATGTGTCAAAAAAACAAAACAAACAAACAAAAAAACCCATGTTGTGCTAGTTTCCTATTGCTGCTATAACAAGTGACCACAAACTTAGTGCCTTAAAACAATGCAAGTTTGTTATCTTACAGTTCTGGAGGCGTGACATCTGAAATGGGTCTTATAGGCGAAAGTCAAGGTGTCAGCAGAGCTGCATTCCTTTGGAGGCTCTGGCGGAAATTGTTCATCTGCCTGTTCCAGCTTCTAGAGGCTTCCTGCACTCCCTGGCTCCTGGTCACTTCCTCAGGTCACCCAACCCTCTGCTTCCACTGTCACGTGTCCTGACTCTTCCACCTTCCTTTTATTAAGATCCCTGTGGTTACATTGGACCCACCAGGATAATCCAGGATGATGTCCCTATCACAAGATTCTTAACTTCATCTCATCTGTAAAGTCTCTTTTGCCATGGGAGGTGACATATGCAATGCACAGGTTCTGAAGATGAGGACAAAGGTATCCTTGGGGGCCATCATTTTGTCTCATACTCAGGAAGGAGAATCCCAGCTGACGCTAAGAAGGTCACTGTTAATCAAAGTCAAGTTCCCTATTTTTAGGTGGCCCCAACAGGAGCATGGTGCCAAGTTCCCCAGCACTCACCTGGGAGCAGCTGAGGGGGGTTTTGGGTGTCTGGTGAGGCTGTGGCCAGCTGGCGTCTCCCCTGCATCTCTGCATACTCTGCCAGGGGTCTGAGGAGAGCCAAAGCTCCGGAACATTGCAGGTAATTGCCATCAAGGTGCAGCTCACTGGGGAAGGGGGGCAAAATACAAATAATTTGATGTTAGTTCCACTTCCCCAAATTTGGATTTGAGGTCTTCATCTGATGAAATAATATACCTAGTCATAAAATAATAAATAATCATAATAATTAATCAATAATAGGATATACCATAAAAAATAGACTTATTGACCATGTCAGCTGGCCAAAAACATAATATGTCATTCAGCATGACATCCTTAATTCTCAAACTTCACTAAAGGATCTTCCTCTTAGCATTAAGAAAAAGCAAACAGGCCGGGTAATCCTAGCACTCTGGGAGGCTGAGGCTGGCGGGTCACTCAAGGTCAGGAGTTTGAAACCAGCCTGAGCAAGAGTGAGACCCCGTCTCTACTAAAAATGGGAAGAAATTAATTGCCCTAAACTAAAAATATATATAGAAAAAATTAGCCAGGCATGGTGGCGCATGCCTGTAGTTCCAGCTACTTGGGAGGCTGAGGCAGGAGGATTGCTTGAGCCCAGGAGTTGGAGGTTGCTGTGAGCTAGGCTGAAGCTATGGCACTCTAGCCCAGGCAACAGAGTGAGACTCTGTCCAAGAGAGAGAGAGAGAGACAGAGGAGAGAAAGAAAGAAAGAAAGAAAGAAAGAAAGAAAGAAAGAAAGAAGAAAGAAGAAGAGAAGAAGAGAGAAAGAGAGAGAGACAGAGGAGAAGAAAGAAGAAGAAGAAGAAGAGAAAGATAGAAAGAAAGAAAGAAAGAAAGAAAGAAAGAAAGAAAGAAAGAAAGAAAAAACTAGCAAGCAAACAAAAATAACTGGGAGGGGGGAGAAAATATGATTAAAATCATAGTGGGCTGTATAACTCCAGACAGAACAGTGCCAGGATGCGCATGGGGCGGGGCGGGGCGCGGTCTCACCAAATGGCGCTCTGGCTGACGACCGAGCCCAGCCGGGGCCCGCTCTGGGGCCCCAGACCACAGTAACGCAGACTGAGGTCGTGAAGCCTCTGGTTGTTCTCCAGGCCTGAGAAGATGCTCTCAATTTCTTCATTTCCAAATCTAAAAAGAAAGGAAGGTGTCAACCTAAATAACAGAGGGAGGGGCTCTCTGAAAGCAAAGGGTATTTATTTGGGAAGGGGCATCGCAATGGGAATACACGGCCATAGTAAACTGTGTGCGTGTCCAGGGAGGTAAAGGAAGACAGGGTTTTTAAAGGAAAAACGAGGAGTTTATGTAATTGTTTTGAAATAATTATCCTTGGCTACAGAGATCAATAACAAGGGTGGCGCCAGTCTAAGGCTGAACAGGCAATTGGCGGGCGGATGTCCTCCCAGAAGTATTTGCGATGGCCTTTGTGCAAGACTGTGGCTTTTGCAGAGTCTTTTGTGATAGTTCTTTTTCCCAGGCATTTATACATGAGAACCCTCCCTCCCTCATGGCCTTCCCAGCTCTATCGGTCAGGGTTTTGTTTTTGTGACTTCATTTTAATTCTGACAATATTCACAACAGGAATAAATTAGTGACTTTTAAAACCTATGTCACGCACTGGATTGTTAATGTTGATGCCCTCCCTGGGGTAGTTAGAGGCATTTCTGCTGACCCTTAATTCGAACGTCCAGGGCCAGAGCTGGCTGTGGGGGCGGGCTGGGTGTGGAGAGAAGGAGGCCCGAAGTCTGCCTCCTGGTAAAGGGAGCAGAAGGTGGCCGGGACTGCCCATGCAAGGGAGCGGAGGAAGAACAAGCTCTGAACCCCAAAGCTGGCCACTCCGGAGAGAGGCGAGATGGCCCAGGGCAGAGATGGGAGGAGCCTGGGAAGACTGCTGTCAGGAGGGGCCTTTTAAAGTGTGTCCAGAGCAGGTTCAGGAGAGTTCCAGCACTCCGTCCCTCCCTTCACAGGCCTGTGCCGTTCCCTCTTCTTGTACTGCGGTCTCCACTTTGCCAAGTGAAACCACATGCGTCCTCAGCAGCCTCCGGGGGAAGGTGATGGTAACATTCCTGGGTCAGAAAACTGAGGTTTGGCGAAGTAAAGCAGCATCGTCAAGGAATTTGGAGGGTCAAGGCTTGAACTTTAAGCTGAGGTGGGTAGTGTAAACAGACATAACTTTTAAATTTATTAATTCATGAACAAGGAATTATTGAGGGCCCACAACGTGCCCGCTACTGGGGTGGCTGTGAGGATGTGGAGGAGAGAGGAGGGCGTCCTGCCTGGTGGCCCTCACACCGTCAGGGAAGGGAAGGAACTGTAGTCCCCAGGGCCAGTAGCCTGCAGTAAGAGCCCCACAGGGACTGAGCATTCCAGCCTTACTTGCAGTGGTCCAGGACAAGAGAATGCAAACCGCTGAACTGCAGAGCCTTCCCAAGTCGCCCTAGAGACCACAGATCCATCTTGCAAGCAATGACTTCTAAGGTGGTGAACGGGCAGGTGGTGCGGCCCTTCAGCTCCAGAAACAAAGCCTAGAATGCAAGATGGAAAGACACTTACACAGCCATGACAGACGTGCTTTTTGCTTTAATATGTTGCTTGCAAGTCAATCGTATCAGTTACCTCGACATTTTAGCCTCTAGATAATTTTCTGTTAATAATTACCTAAGAAAAAGGTGGCACGAAAATAATTTCCCTTTGAAACAAAAATTCCTTGAAGAATGCTATGGGAAACACCGAGCTTCACGATGAGATAAGATATACTGGAGGATATCATTTTAGATGTTGGTATGGGCCGAATTGCGTGTCCTCCCAAATCCTAGCGCCCAGTACCTCAGCATGTGGCTGTATTTGGAGATGGGGTAATTAAAGATGTAATTAAGTTAAATGAGGTCATTAGGGTAAAGCTTTACCCAATATGACTTGTTTTCTTATAAGAAAAGGAGATTCAGACACAAATGGACAGAGAGAAGACCATGTGGAGACACAGGGAGAGGCCAGCCATTCGCAAGCCAAGGAGTCCTCAGAAGAAATCAACCCAGCCTCCACCTTGATGTGGGACTCCCAGCCTCCAGAACTGTGAGAAGATAAATTTCTGTTGTTGAAGCCACCTAGTGTGTGGTACTTTTTTTTTTTTTTTGAGACAGAGTCTCACTCTCTTGCCTGGGCTCGAGTGCCGTGGCATCAGCCTAGCTCACAGCAACCTCACACTCCTGGGCTCAAGCGATCCTCCTGCTTCAGCCTCCTGGGTAGCTGGGACTACAAGCACGTGCCATAGTGCCTGGCTAATTCTTTCTATTTTATTTTTTTAGTTGTTTGGCTAATTTCTTTCTATTTATAGGCAAGACAGGGTCTTGCTCTTGCTCAGGCTGGTCTTGAACTCCTGAGCTAAGCAATCCTCCTGCCTCAGCCTACCAGAGTGCTAGGATTATAGGTGTGGCCCCAGTCTGTGGTACTTTGATGTGACAGCCCGAAGTGACTAAGACAGATGTTGATGTTCTAATCAACAAATTAACCCTCCTCAGGAGGAGGAGGAAGGAGGGCGGAAAAAAAAAGCCAAAACAAATTTACCCTCCCATGGTTGTGTTATTTTTAGTAGAGAGGTATGGATATGCCAATCTTCTTATAATTAAATACAAAATTATCTGTCATTTATAGCCATGAATATTAGGATTTGGAGGTCTGCTTAGAACAGGACTGTGCAAATTCAGTAACCGGGTGCTTCTCACATGGAAGCATCTGGACTGGCACCGTCTCATGTTCCCACGGTGTCCCGAATGCAGGGTCTATGGCAAGGTCATTCCCCGTGGTAACAAAGGATACCGGTGACAGTTAAATCCCCACCTGAGAGGAGAGGGTGTGTAAAAATACCAACCATGGCAATGTCGTGAAGGCCACCTTTCAGCACTTAGAAACTCCAGAGCCTGAGGACTCCTTCAGTTCAGTTTAAGCCCAGGGGAGGCTTTGGTGGAGTTTGGAGGACTTAGGGTTTTTTCGAGGTAATGACATGTTGGTCAGTTGTAGGGTTCCAAATTATATCTTGACTGAGATTAGAAAGGCACTTGCAACCTTAACCACAGAGCTGGTGCCAAGGCGTCTTTAATGAGAGACGCCTGGTTTGAGTGCTGGATTCGAGCCATCTTCCTGACAGAGGAGCCCATGTGGCATGTCAAGGCCAATGTTAACACTCCTCTGGCCAGAACAGACCCTTGACCGGGTCCTAAAGCTCCCACCCAGAGTGTGTGCCATCACTCTTGGGCACCAATGCTGCTGTGGGCGGGCCCACGGCCATGCGGGATAGGATTCCTCAGCAGCCCCGCTCAGCAAGAGGGCTGCATTTTAAGGAACTGTGAAAGATCACTTTTAACATGAATGGACAGCATTCTATTTCCCGCTTGGGTGGACTGGGTACCCTGATTGACCCTCTGAATAAAAGCAACTAAAATGCTGGCTACATATTTAAAATATCCTTTTTAAATTTATTTTTAAGCTCTGGTAAAATACACACAACGTTTACCATTGTTACCATTTTTAAGTGTACAGTTCAGTGGTGTTAAGCATTCACATTTTTGTGCAATCTTAACCACCATCCATCTCCAGAACTCTTTTTTTTTTCCATCTTGCAAAACTGCAACTCTATACCCATTGAACAATAGCTCCTCAGTGCCCCTCCCCCAGACCCTGGCAACCACCATTCTGCTTTCTGTCTCTAGGAATCTGACCCGCTAGGTACCTCATAGAAGTGGAATCATACAGTATTTGTTCTTTTGTGTCTGGCTTATTTACTTAGCATTATGTCCTCAAGGTTCACTCATATTGTAGCCTGTGTCAGAATTTCCTTCATTTTTAAGGCTGAATGATATTCCATCCTATACACCACATTTAATTTATCTGCTTGTCTGTCGATAGACACTTGCATTGCTCCCACCCTTCAGCTATTGTGAATAATGCTGCTATGAACGTCGGTATGCAAATATATCTTTGAGACCCTGCTTTTAATTCTTTTGGGTATACACTCAAAAGCAGAATTGCTGGATCATACGGTCATTCTGTTTTTAATCTTTTGAGGAACCACCACACAGTTTTCTGTAGTCGCTGCGCCATTTTACATTGCCACCAACAGTGCAAAGACTTCCAATGTTTCCACATCCTCACCAACGCTTGTTATTTTTTATTTCTTGGTAGTAGCCCTCCTAACGGGTGTGAGGTGATATGTCACTGTGCTTTTGATTCGCATTTCCTTAGTGATCAGTGACATCTTTTCATGTACCTATTAGCCATTTGTATATCTTTTCTGAAGAATGCCTATTCAAGTTCTTTGTCCACTTTAAATTAAATTGCTTGTTTTTGTTGTTGTTGAGTTGTAGCTGTTATTTATATATTCTGGATGTTAACCCCTTATTAGATATATGATTTACAATTATTTTCTCTCATTCCATGGGTTGTCTTTTCATTCTGTTAATTATGTCCTTTGGTGCATAGAAGTTTTTCATTTTGATGTAGTTTGATTCACCTATTTTTTATTTTGTTGCCTGTGCTTTTAGTGTCATGGCCAAGAAATCATTGCCAAACCCAATGCCAAGAAGCTTTTTCTCTACGCTTTCTTCTAAGAATTTTAAAGATATTTTTTAAAAATGTTTTAATTGGCTGGCAGGTTAGTGAGGAATACCCAAAGGTCAATGAATGAGGGAAAATGGGAGCCTGATTGGGTGTGCTGAGCACTGACACCAGCTTTCCGGAAAAGCTTCATGGAAGAAGTAGATGTGAGTGCTGGTTTTCATGGATCATGGGATCCAGGGAATAGGAGATAAAACCATAGCCAGTGAGCGTGAAGAGTTCAGCAGGAAGTTCTACATGAAGGTGTGGCCCCAAACACAAAGTGGGCCACAGCGTTATGCCCTTAAAGTAGGATGAACTAGAAATAAACCCAAGTCTCCTTTCCCCCAATGCACCCCAAGGAAAATTGCCTTTTTCGAACAGATAAATATAGTGAAAAAATGTATCCCCTGAGAACTCACAAACTAGCCTGAATACAGCTTGGCACCCTGAATTAATATGACTGGAATGGTTCAGAGAAACCTAGGTCAAGAATTTAGTGTAACCCTGGGATGGTAGCACCCTGAGTGCACCCAAGATTGCCAAAAGCACCCTGAATTTAAAAATAAAAGCATAGTGTAGCTTTTCAGCTTCGTGACTGCCCTTTTAAAACTCAAATGCCCACAGGGATAATTATCCCTGTGATGTTCTTCTCCCTGGGTCTTCATTTTTGATCCCTGACCTTGGATCTCTTACTTGCCTAATAAGTGTGTGTGTGTGTGTGTGTGTGTGTTTATCTTGTCTTCAGTGAAAGAGATGGTCTAATGATCTGATTTACCCTTTCTAGAAGCAAAGTCCTTTATGTGACTTCTCGCAGTCACTAATGGAAGTTCAATTTAAAAAAATAAAATATAATTGCATATGTGACAAAGCTATCTTTCAAAAATGAAGGTTGCATGTGATATGATGGCAGTCGAAATCAATGCATATGGAGAAATCTTGACAACATGATGTTAGTAAAAAAGTAAGTCATAAAATCATACACACAGTGCAATTCCATTTATGCAGATAAGCACATACATGCATATGTAATACAAGTGTAAAATATGCACGGGGTTGATATACATCAACTTCAGGCTAATGGTGCCTCTGGGAAGTAGATGTGGGAAAAGAAGTGAAATGAAGCTGTAGCTATTATATTTGTAAATGTCTGCAAATTTTATTTCTTAAGAAAAGTATATTACATCTGGGTGGTGGGTCCATAGATGTCAGTTCTAATATTTTCTCCATTTTCATGTTTGAAATATTTCATTGAAAATAGTTTTTTAAAAACAAAGCCTTGTAGCACATCAGTTGACAACCAAATGAACTCTGGCCACAGCACATGATGTAATTGCTTACATTAAATTTTAAGGTTTGAGAGAATATTTTTAAAACCATGACTCACGAGTCTGGCAACCTCTGGGTTGCTCAGCTGAAGGCCCCAGATGCAGATCTCTTTCCCCAGCCTGTAACGCTCATCTCGAATTGTCATGAGCAAAGGTTCCAAGGAAACTGGTAGGGTGGTTGGTGGGGAGCCATCAGGTCTTACAAATGTAAACTGGAGTGTAAGAAAAAAAACGGCATCATATTAGATATTGTAACGAGAAGTCTATGCATCTGAATAGGTGGAAAAGGAATATTGTCATTAGACAACATTAATGAACATTTAAAATAATTATTAACATTTGATCTCGTGTGCATTGGGGTGGTGACTCAACACAAACTTAACAAAGTTTCTGCCATGTGCAAAACTCTGAAAAGTCCTATAGGGCACAGATTTTTCCAGCAGGTAAATTGGGTCATAAAATCAATTTACTGGGTTGCCACCAGCTTTTTCTTTTTTCTTCTTTATGAGATAGAAAAGAAGGGAAATTATCCAAGCGCATCTCAGGAAGTAAGGATAATAATGATTGTCTCGTGAGGCTTTTATTTAAGTGACATTCACAATCAAAACGGAGACCTCACCTAAGCAACCCGCCCACCATAAACAGCCCTTATGGTGGCACTAATGCGCTGGTACTTACATATGGAGTCAGGATGTTAATTGTATTTCTAATGGTGATTGTAATCTTTTAAAAGTTTGGAAAACATTGCCGAAGGGACTAATGTGAACAAGATTTATGATTAACCCTATGACTAAGTAGTGGGGGCTAATTATAAAAACTGCAGTAGAAAACAGTTAATTAGTAACTATTTTACTACAAAAAGGCTGGCGGCTCTGGGAAGATAGTTTACTGGGATCTTTGTCCAAGATTGTCCAAGGAGATTTGTGGGGGACCCTAGAGAAGGAACTGGGAAGAGGGGTTACAGAGAACTGGGAGGGTGAGTGGAGCAGGGCAGAGTGGGGTGGGGAGAGGCCCAGGGGAAGGAGAGGGGCCGGAAGTTCAGAGGAAAGAGGGAAGATGGGAGAGGAACTTCAGAAGGTTCTTTTGGCGAGAGGTGCAATGTAATCTTCCCACCTCTCAAACACATTTAGGAAAAATATGGTGAGATGGATCTGGGCCAGAATCACCTTAGAATAATGATCTCTCTTTTTTTTAAAGCATCCATCTCTATCTAATAATTTCCTTTAGTGCCTTGTTTCAGCACTTAGCATCTTAGGAAATCAGTAGGTATTTGATCAAAACTTCTGGGCTGGTGTAGAAAAGTTGTGAGCACTTTGGGGTGCTAGGTTCTCCCTTCTGGTCTCTCAGGTGCCCCCTTTTTAAAGTTGCCCATTTCATTTCACTGCTGACCTCTCCTCTCCTCTTTTCCCCTCACACCCAAGTCCTGGATTTAATCTTAGAAGGAAATGACATCAGAATTTTTTCTGGAACCTAGTGCTTTTGGAGTCAGAGTTCTGCACGTGCTGACCTCACTCCAAGTGAGCCAGGCCTCACAATGGCAGGTGTGGGCGATGGCAGGTCAGGCCTGATGACAGGGACACACCCACAGTGGAGGGAGGGAGATGGTCACTTGGAGGGGTCAGGTGGGTGGCAGGAGTGCTGGGAGGGGAAGTCCTGCAGTGGTGACCAAAGAGGTGACCTTCAAGCTTGGGCTCGGCCTTCCAGATGTGGCGTAGAAGGAGAGCCGGGGAGCGGGAGGGGAGTCCTTTTGAGGGAAGTGGCGTGAGAACAGGCAGGTGGGCTGGAAGGGGTGGGAGGGACAGCTAGGGGGGAGGAGCGGGAAGGTAGGAGAAGTGCTGAGCAGGCCCTGGGTGGCTTTGGACTCTACTTGGTCAGGAATGCAGAGGGGGTGACACAGTCAGCTTTAGGCTTGAGGGGACTGAGGAACCATGCTCCTTGGGAGTAAACCCTGGCCAGTTCTTTTCAGAGAAGAATATGGAAACCAGACCATACACTCACCTTCCTGAGAACCCGGTCACTGTCGATGCTGCTTTTCAGGTCCCTTTTGATGGCTGGACACATGGACGTCTGAGACTGTGCACAATGCTTCTCATACGTTTTCAGGAACTTTTGAAGAATCAGAGCGATGGGCAGGGGTGCCCCTTTAATTTTTCGTTTTCCTTCCTTTACTTTCGGCATTGTTTTATAGTGTTAGATCTCACTTGGATTCTGAAATTAGTAACTTGCCCTGAAACCCAACACACAGATGTCTTTTTAAGGAGCAGAACACACCTCCCCAACTAAAAATGGGCAAATATTTTTGCACACCCTTCTCTGAACATCTAAAGGCTTCATTTGTCTTAAAATGGGACTAGGGAGTCAAGATAGAGACAGTTGAAAGGCATTGTCAGCTTCCATCCCCTGGGACCATGTTCTTTCTTTTAGATTCTTTAAAAGGGGGGTAGTATCAGTGAAACTCAGTTACAAAGCAATGCAAGTAACATTATTAATACTGGGTGCTAAATATTATCAAGAACATACTGATCTAAAAACATCATAATTCTCTTCAGAGACATAATTCTTGCCAGGCAGTATATCATAGTGATTAAGAATGTGGACTTTGGAGGCTAGCGGGTCTGGATTTTAGTCTTGTTGCCACCCGTTGATTCACTGGGTGGTCTTAGGTAAATTATGAAGCCTCTTCAAGCCTCGGTCTCCCCATCTGTAAGATGGATTATGGTTGTTATAAGGATTAAGTGAGATAAGTTTATAAAGTATTTAGCACTATACCTGGCACAGAGTGGAAGTGCTGAATAAACTTGATTATTACTATTGATGTTATTATTTTTATTCTGCTGGACACAGGAAGCCGCACAATCAGGACTGATTTTTTCCTTTAAATTATCCAGTTCAGAAAGGTCCCTCCATGTGATGACTTAAGGGAATGAAGGGACCTCTGATCTCGATTCACAGAGACAAAGGTTTATGGGCGTTATTGGGGTTTTCCCACATAGGAAAGTTTCCAGCTAGAGACTGTCCAGAAATGTGTTTACTGTCTTACATCTAAAGGGGCTCTTCTTGTTGAATCCAGGCCTGGCGGAGCATCCCAAAGACACTGATACGCGACAGGGCTGTCAAGGAAGGCAAACATCAAAAGGAACGTGGCTTTTCTACCTGCCTGACAGCAGCAACCCTCTTGCCCCACTTAGGTCTGTTTCCCTCCAAGTAGCCAGAGTGACATTTTTGAAATATAAATCAGATCGTGTGACTCTTCTGCTTAAACTTCTCCAATGATTTCCCATTACATTTATCGTTTTTATTTATTTATTTTTTTTATTTTTTATTTTTATTTTTTTTGAGGCAGAGTCTCGCTTTGTTGCCCAGGCTAGAGTGAGTGCCATGGCGTCAGCCTAGCTCACAGCAACCTCAAACTCCTGGGCTCAAGCAATTCTTCTGCCTCAGCCTCCCGAGTAGCTGGGACTACAGGCATGCGCCACCATGCCTGGCTAATTTTTTCTCTATATATTAGTTGGCCAATTAATTTCTATTTATAGTAGAGACGGGGTCTCGCCTTTGCTCAGGCTGGTTTCAAACTCCTGACCTCGAGCAATCCACCCGCCTTGGCCTCCCAGAGTGCTAGGATTATAGGCGTGAGCCACTGCACCCGGCCTACATTTATCTTTTATATGTTCATTCTGTCAGTTGTTGAGAGATGGATATGGCTGTGAATGACTACTTCTGCTATTGATTCTGCAATTTTTGTTTTTTATATTTTGGAGCTATGTTATTAGGTGCCCATACATTTGTAACTGATAAATCTTCCTGTGAGGGCTACCCTTTTGTTTTTGTTTATTACCTCTCTTTATCTCTAGTAATGCTTCATGCCTTAGAACCATGGTTCCCAAACCTACACTGTACACTGAGGGGCACTGCCACAAATTTGCAGGGCACCGTGGGATATTTTAAATTGTCAAGAGAAAGCCAGCAACATCTGTTGGATGCCATGTGACCTATTAGCTGGAGGTCATTCACAATTTCAAATTAGACACTTGCATTAATATTTTACCGCTGATGAGCCCATCACGAGTGAAAAACATTCTGGAAAGGGAGAATGAACCTAGTAGAATGTAGAGACAGTCAAGTACTGTAGTAAGGGACAATCACAGTATTGTAGCTGACGGGGTCCTTACAGATTGTCTAATCCAAGACTTCGAGTTCTGAAACTTGAAAAGTCCTGGGCAAGCCTCAACGACTGCTCACCCTGCCCCTCTCCCACTCACGGCCTTCATCCAGATGTCACCTCCGAATTCTACTCAAGGCTCTCTGCTCCGGGCAGCTGCAGCAGAGCTACCAGACGTGGCAGCTACCTGGAACCGGTTGGCCATCTTGGGTCTGGTAAAACTTTCATTTCAGGTGTGACAGAAGGGAGGCCTAGGTAGGGGAAGACGGGGCTTGCTCCAGCTGAGAACAGAACGGGGCCTCCTGACTCCCAAGACGGTTTCAGGCACAAGGTAGAGGGCCACAAGAGCACACAGCCACATGGTGACCCTCCCCAGAAGCCAGGAGGAGAGGCCTCAGCATGAAACCTACCTTGCTGGCACCTTGACTTCAGACTTCCAGCCTCTGGAACTGTGAAAAATACGTTTCTGTTCTTTAGACCACCCAGTCTATGGCATCTTGTTAGGGCTGCCCAGCTGACTAAGACAGTATACAGCAGCCGTCCCCAACTTTCTTGGTACCAGGGACCGTTTTCATGGAAGACAATTTTTCCACAGATGGGGGGGAGGGTTGGGGATTATTGAAGAGCATGACATTAATTGTGCAGTCAAACCTCTCTGCTAATGATTATCTGTACTTGCAGCCGCTCCCCAGCGATACCAGCACCGCCTCAGCTCATGAGGCAGGAGACTCTCATGATGTGCCCGGGTTTGCGCTGCTGTGAGAATCCAACGCTGCTGACCCGACAGCGGGCGGAGCTTATGCGCGATGGGAGCGAGGGGCGGCTGTAAATGCAGATGAAGCCTCGCTTGCTGCCCTGCAGCTCGCCTCCTGCTGGGCCGCCTGGTTCCTAACAGGCCAGAGAGCCGGACCAGTTGGCGGCCTGGGTGGCGACCGCAGGTATACAGTATTGCTGGTCACCTGATGGGGTATTTCTCACCAGCCTTTGCTGAGTGTTTACAGATGCACAGACTACACCCTCACAGCGTCTGCAAATGCCCTATTAAGACACTTTTGAATCTTGAGTTTTTCACTTAATATTTTATCACAAGCATTTCTTTATGCCATTTCTGTATATACTAAGTGTTGTGGCCCACGTTAGCAAATATTTAGGCTCTTCAAAGCCAGAATCGATTGACCGAATCATTAATGAACACTTATTGAAGGTCTAAGGCATGTGTGCTCTGCCCTGTGCTGAGTTTTACTCATCTGGAAGGGGCTCCCCTCCCCAGCTTCTTGGAGATGGGACAGGGGCGGCTGAAGGGGTGAGAGAAGGGGCCGGCGGGCCCTGCGCTCTGTCCCTAGGGGTCGGGGGAGAACAGAGCCGTGCTGAGTTTCTTGCACGCTCAGGTTGGGCAGCTGCCGGCGCCACCTGGGAGTCTCAGGGGACACGACGGGGGCCAGCAAGGAGGGGTGCACCCGCTCTCTTCTCCGAGGCTCCGGATGCACGCAACCATTTAAACACAATCCCTAGAGAATCCGCGCTGCCCGCCCCGCCTGCGGAAAGCCCAGCTGCGTCGCAGTGCCCCGCTGCCCTGGGGGTGTCCGGGTGGGGTGTGTGCCTCGGGAGGGAAGGGCGGCGCGCGAGCACGCACAATCTCCGGGGAGCCCAGTCCCAGCCGGGTCTGGAGCATTTAACCCCCAGGCCCCCGCAGTCCCACTGCCGGAGCAACCTGGTCGGGCACGCTCCCCACCCGCGCGGCGTCCGCACTCACTCGCGCGCGGTCCCTGCGCCGCTCGCCCCGCCGGCTTCCCGCGTCGCGTCGGCGCCCTGGAGACGGCGGCGGGGGGCGGAGGCTGGAGGGACGGTCCCGCGCGCGGGAGGGAGAGGAGCGCCGGGCAGGGCCGAGGCGGCGGCGGACACAGCACGCTAGGGCTCGTCGCAGGTCGGGCTTGGACTTGGAGGAAATGAGAAATCCTGGTGTCCTTGCTGCGGGTGAAGCTTGTCCCCGCCAACGTCAGGTGTGGGGACCAGATGTCAGGTCCGTGTTCCCTGGTTCTTGGTCCCCAGTACCGAAGAATGGTTCCTGGTACCGAGTCGAGGAGCAAATGAGCAGACCAAGCAGCAAGCAAAGCAATGCAAAGCGAAGCGCCAAAGTTTATTAAAGCACAGTTCGCTCCAGAGAGGGAATGGGTCAACCCTGCGAGTGGAGGAGACCCTGAGTTTAACAAGATTTTCCCTTTTATGCTGATTCCCCAATTATTAAGTGGGGGTGGAATATTCATGATTTTTCTTGGAAAAAGGTGGAGAATTCCTTGGAGTGGGAACCCTCCCCATTTTTAACCTTGTAAGGCAATTTCCAGGGGTTGCCATAGTATTTGTAAATTGTCATGGTGCTGGTGCATTTTTTACTCATTTACTATGTTAATGAGAGTAGGTCATTTGAGGATACAGTCACCTTACTTGTACGCATACTCCAGAGACCCTCATTTGTGACCTTGGCCATAACTCCACTTTGTGGCCTTTCCACCTCTTTCTGGTAGGTCAGTCCTTGGAGACCCCTTATCATAGACCAAATATCTGGTCAGTCCTTGGCGAGCCCTTGATACATCACCTGTTCATTCTTGACACATCACCTGTTTGTTCTTGGAAGCCCCACTTCTGGTCAATTTGTTCCTCCTATAGACAAAGCATCTCCTAACTTCATCTATTTCTCATTAGAATCCAATCCCCAAAGCATCTGTTCCCCTTCCTCCGTATCCCAACCTAACACCAAAGGAGATGGGTGGGGAGGAGATCTGGCAGGGGACAGAAGTTGAGGAAGGAGGACGGGTGTTCCTGCTCATCAGTGGGGCATCGGGGGTGACAGAGGCCCCCAAAGTGGAGTTGCCCAGCCTGTTCCCGCCACCCCTTAGGTCCGCTATGGACCGGCCCTGGCCCCTACTGCGATTTCTCACAGAACCCAGGTTGCAAACCTGTCCCTGCCCTGCTGCTCCTGCCAGCTACAAGGGTTTCATTTTGTGGCTATTGTTTTATCCTCCCCAATCCCAGGAGGAAGGGGCATCAGGATAAAGGGAGAGGCTCAGAGGTTAGGCCTATAAAGGAATTTTTCTGGGGAATATTGAGGAGAAAGGTGAAAAACAGCTGAAGCTTTCCAAGAAGTGGATGGGAGAGGAAAATGGACTTTAAGAAACTTTACTGTGGGCAGTGGCTTTGGGACATGTAAAGTAAGGATTAGGAGGATGTATTGGGCAGAATAAAGTCCCCCAAATATTCATGCCCTAAGCCTTGAAATGTGAATATGTGACCTTATAGGCAAAAGCAACTTTGCAGATGATTAAAGTTACAGACCTAGGGGAGGGGGGCAGTCTAATCACAAGAGTCTGAGAACATGAAGTGGAGAACCTTCCAGGCTGTGGTCCGACAGAGATGAGAGATGAGAAGAAAGGCCAGAGAGAAGAAGTGAGAAGGAGTCTACACGCTCTCACAGGCCTTAAAGACAGAGAAAAGGGGACATGAGCCAAGGAATGCTGGTAGCTTCTAGAAGATGGAAAAAGCGTAAAAACGGATTCTCCCCAAACCTCCATAAAGGAGCACAGCCCTGCCCACACCTTGATGTTAGGTCAGTGAGACCTGTGTGGGCTTCTGACCTCCATACTTGGCACATAATACATTATCTAGGTAATATAACTCTCTTTAGATATAGAATAGGCTCTTAATGAATACTTGTTTAATGAAAAAAATGAATAAAAAAAGAATTTGGATTAAACAAATTCACAGTAAACTGCAAATGGAAAATAGCCCCTTAATTCCTGTGGGGCTGGCTGTTTTAAAACCAAATGGCTGTGGTGGGAAGAATTTTTGGCTCACAGAGAAGAAGTGAGGAAGGTTGAGGAGGGCAAGGAAGGCTTCTGAATTTGGACACACATGACTTTGCAGTGAGCGTGTCCCCATGAGCCAGCCTGTGCCCCTTGGTCATTTGTGTCTCTTCCCTTCCTCGCTGTGTTGACCTTATGGCTGTTCTCAGAGGGTCCATATTTTCTGCAACATGACTAGTCCAGCCTTTCCAAGACAAAACCAGAGGAGGGGAATGAGGGAGGAGAGGTCTAGAGTGGGTTAAGAGGGAGCCTGTAGGCCACTGAGCGGGGCTCTGAGCAGATAGATGTTTGCAGAGCAGAGCAGAAAGGAATGGTCAGAGTGGACAGGGACAGAGGGAGGGTCAGAAACTAGGTGGACGGTCAGACATGAGTCCCCTGCATGCACAGTGGGCACGGCAGTTTCTTAAAGGAACTGTATCACTAGGATTAGCTTCAGCTGCTAGTGACAGAAACCCATTTCCACTAGCCGAAACAACTTAGGAGTTTACTTCACTTTCATGTAAATGAAGATCAGGAGTGAGCAGTCCAGAGCTGCTGCAGAAGCTCCAAGATCATGAAGGACCCAAGCCACTTTTACTTTATTACCCTTCCATCCACACTGTGTGACTTCCTGATGTGAGGGCCACCTGGCTGCTACATCTGTCACCCCATTGACCGCCAGGGTTGATTTGGCTGATCTGGCTGGCTAGGCAGATGTCCCCTTCCGCCCTCACCACTCCTAAAGCTGCAAGCTTGGTAGAAGAGGACAAGTTTCCCTGATAGAGGAGGACCGTTCTTCCATCAAGGGTATACAAGTAACTGTGCTCTCCTGCTAGAAACTCCAAACAAGCTCTCAGAGCGTGACCTCCACCTCATGGCCCAAAATAGTTGCTGAAGTCCAGCCTTTTCCCCCCTATTTCAGATAGAAGGAAGAAGGACTGGACAAAGAAAGGCACATGCTCTCCCTTTAAGGATATTTTCCAGAAACCACCCAGGACACTTCTGCTTACATGCCAGATTTAGGAACAGATAGGCTGGACTTAGGAACATGATCATACCAACTGCAAAGGAAGCTGGGAAATGTAGTCTTTATTCTAGGCAGACAGATGCCCAGCTAAAAATGGGAATTTCAGAGGAAGGGAAAGACAGATACTGGAGATAACTAGTAACCTGGACCACAGCAACTGTCAGCTCCCGGGGTGACAGGGATGGCCAGTGCGGTGGAGAGATAGTTGCCGGTTTGTCAGTACTATACAGATTTCTGATGCACTGAGCATTCGTAAATCAGGGCCAGCCTGAAACTGTCAATTCACAGTTGCTACAATTTTAGATGTGACTCACCAGGGACGAATTGCCCAAGAGGCTAAGCATGTGTTTAGGGCTCCTAAAAAGCAGGGAGACAAAACAATAACATATGTAGAGATAGAATTTGCTATTTTGTATTTCAAGCATACAAAGAAATAAAGAAAAACCTAGCAAAACAGTTTTGGGAAAAGTCAGAACTTTGTGGGCTTCGTTATCTGCATTTTGCATTGTAGTGTTGTTTTGGTTTTTGATTTACGTAGAGAAGGGACAACCTTTCTGGTCCTTAGAGCCCCGATCAGGCCCTGAGAGCCAGCATTGGCCCACCTGAAGCCTTCGCTCCCTGCTCATGCAGCACCAGAGCTCTTAGGAGGCCTTTGAGATGAATTCTACTTTTGGCAGAGGGAGGCTATTTTGCTGTTAGACATATAGGAGATCATATGCCAGAAGAGGAAGCCCAGGAAGGGATAAAGAAAGGAACAGGAGAAAGAAAGGGAAAAGGGAATAGGAGGAAGAGGAACAAAGGAGGACAGTGTGGTTGGAGGGGCAGACTGGCTTAGGGTGGCCTGCTCCTGATGCAGTGGCCATTCTACTAACTGATGTATCATCTCAAGAATGGAAAAACAAGCACCACATGTACTCACCAGCAAATTGGTATTAACGAATCAACACTTAAGTGGACATATAGGAATAACATTTATCAGGTGTTGGGCGGGTGGGAGGGGGGTGCATGGGCAATATATGTAACCATACCATTTGTACCCCCATAATATGCTGAAATAAAAAAAAATAAATACATAAATGGAAAAAAAATGTATCCACAAATATATCCTCTCTTCCCTTCCAGGATGGAGCTTAATTCCCTTTTCCTTGAGTGTGGACTGGACCTAGAGACTCGCTTCTAACAAATAGAACGTGGTGGAAGGGACAGTGTGTGGCTAGGTCAAAGAGGTGTGGCAGCACCCTCCTTGTTCTCCCTTGCAGCTCACTTGCTCTGGGAGGAGCCAGCCCCAGGTCCTGAGGACACTCAAGCAGCCCTGGGAAAGGCCCACGTGGCGAGGAGCAGAGGCCTCCAGCCAGCAGCCATGTGGGTAGGGCGGCTTAGAACCCGGTCAAGCCATCAAGGCCAGAACCACCCAGCTAAGCCACTCCCAGAATCCCGACTCTCAGAAATTGTGTGAGATAATAAGTGCTTGCTAGATAAAGCCATTACGTTGTTCAGTAACTTGTTCTACTGCCAATACCTAACCATCACACTTAGGAACTTCTCTATCATTAATGGAAGGTTCACAGGGTCCTAGGGGGTGCATGGTCAAACTGCTGGGTGACCTCCCTGATATCCATTCTCCACTGTACCTTGCTGACAGAGCTCGCTTTTGGCACGTGAGCCCATGAGCCAGGCTAGGAAAACAACACTCCTCAGCATTCCTTGCCTGTGGGTTACCATGGGACATGGCATTGGCCAATGAGACATAAGCTCTTTGAAAAGAGGCAGACCTAGGTGGCTTGAGCTTTTTGTCTTTTGTTCTTCCATTTCTTCTTGCTTGGAATATGGCCATTGCGCTGAAGGTGAAGCTGCCTGCAGTAGTCACCAGATGTCGTGTCAAACATAATCCTAGCTCTTGGGAGGCTGAGGCGGGCGGATTGCTCAAGGTCAGGAGTTCAAAACCAGCCTGAGCAAGAGCAAGACCCCGTCTCTACTATAAATAGAAAGAAATTAATTGGCCAACTGATATATATATATATAAAAAAAAAAAATTAGCCGGGCATGGTGGCGCATGCCTATAGTCCCAGCTACCCGGGAGGCTGAGGCAGAAGGATCACTTGAGCCCAGGAGTTTGAAGTTGCTGTGAGCTAGGCTGACGCCACGGCACTCACTCTAGCCTGGGCAACAAAGCGAGACTCTGTCTCAAAAAAAAAAAAAAAAAAAAAACACCCCCTGGACGGCTGAGCAGATGGTGGAAGGAGTCAGGGTCTCTGGCAGCCCCATGGACCCAGAATCGGTCTGGGCTGCCCTCCTCAGGGCTCTCATTACATAAGGCAAAGCTGCTCACATTTCTGTCACTCACAGCAGAGTGGGTGTTTACAGAAATATAAACCCCTTAACTGATGCATCTTCAGTCATGTGCATTCAATTCCAACATTTAAAAAGTATGCAGTGAGTAGGAATCATTCTGTAGTAACTGCTCTGATGAGGACAAGGATTATAGAGGCAAGAAACGAGGACTCAATGGCTTTGGGTTCTCAAGAAGAACACTGGGTTTTGAACTGAAAAAGTGAAAACCAGCCCTGCTGGCAGCTAGGTGATGGTTTCCAAATTGCATATAAACAACGCTCAGACAGCCTCCCCGCCTCCCAACAAGACCTGTGGAAGAAGACATAAGAGGCCATTCTCCAAGCACAGCCATGACTAAACATCCCCCTCTTCTGATGGCTCTGAGGACTGCTGCCCTTCCCCAGGGACAGCCCATTCTAGTGCTCCCGCCTCCATTATCAAGTTGCCCGAACTTCTGCACAGCATGTGGTCTAGCAGTGCCCCCACCCACTTCCCGCCTCCCTCCTTGCAGTCACAGGGCAGGTCCCAGCCTGTGAGAAGCCCCTCCCTGCTCCCTCTGCCTGAGCTCCTCGCCTTCCGCCTTCCGCCTTCCGCCTTCCGCCTTCCGCCTTCCGCCTTCCGCCTTCCGCCTTCCGCCTTCCGCCTTCCGCCTTCCGCCTTCCGCTGGGGGCATTTATCTCCCGCTGCAGCAAGGCTGGTAAATCTAACATAACATCTTTCACCTGCAGTCAAAGAAATTCTGATACTCTCTGGTCATTAGGCTTTCACAGAGCACCTCAAAGCCAGAGCTTTTAGCCCCTCCTGTCTCTAGTGCAGGCGTCTTCAAACTATGGCCCGTGGGCCACATGCGGGTGTTCTTGCCCATTTATTTTTTACTTCCAAATAAGATATGTACAGTGTGCATACAAATTTGTTCATAGTTTTTTTTTAAACTATAGTCCGGCCCTCCAACGGTCTGAGGGACACTGAACTGGCCCCCTGTTTGAAAAGTTTGAAGACCCCTGCTAGTGGCTCAAGCAGGCTCAGGAGTTGGTACAAGACTCCTGACTGCCAGAGCACAGCACCGGCAGCAGCTGGGACTGTTGCTAACTTACTAGACCTTGGCCTCAAATAACTCTCCTTCCGGTTGTGGGTCTGTTTCTCCTGTGCTGACAGGAGGAAGAGGGGAGGTCGTGCAACCTTAGACAGGCAGCCGCCCCAGAGTTCTGGGGACGCTCCCCTCTCCTTTTGGTTCTTCCCGTAGTTGTCCTTCAGTCCTGACTGGGTCTCCATGCAAAGTAGAAGCAAAATCTGCCGTGAGGCAATAGTGAGACCCTTGGGTAGACAGGTAAGGAGGGGTTCCTTCTGGGTGTGCTTAGAGGGCGGAGGAGGCTTTCCTGGGCTTGGGCGTGTCTGAAATTCACAGGCGCTAGATGTCGTGGGCTCGTGAGGCCTGGCCTTGCAAAACATTTGCAGGTGTTTCTGAAACAGGTTCAGACCAGGAAAAAAATCCCAAATGAACATCGTAACTAACAGGACCAGGGAATATTTTCCAATAAGAGACTCTATGGAGAAGGACATTTGAAAAGAAGTCTCAGATGGTTTTTCAACAAGGTGAATGGGATTGGTGCTACAAAAGTAAGTCTTAAATGTGGGCTGTATCAGTGCGTCGTTAGACCAACGAGGAGTGTTAAAAGAATGCTCTTGGCCGGAGGCCCTGCCCCAGACCAGTGACGAGGGACTCTGGGGTCCGGGCGTCAGTGTTGGTTCTCCAAGTGGGCTAACAGGCAGCCGGGGTGGAAGGACACTGGGCTGTGGCGACGCCGAGACCAAGAGTCAGAAAGCAGCTCTCCCCTTCCTCAAGCCAGGTGCTCAACCACCCTGATCTAATTTCTTCATCTGCAAAATGAGGGAGGTTGACTATTCGTGTTTCTGAAATTTTAATGTGCACATGAATTACATGGGCATCCTGTCAACATGCGATTCTGTGCAGCAGGTCTAGAGAGGGACCTGAGACCCTGCATTTGTTCGAGGCACCTGGGTAATGGCGGTGCTGACGCAGGTTGTACCTTGAATAGCAAAGGCTGGGTTAGTGGCTCTCAAATTGTGAACCCCAGACTGGCAGCCTGAGGACAGCCTGGGAAACTGATAGTGATGCAGAATCTTGGACTGTAACTCTGAGGCTCTGGGGTGGGACCCAGCCATCTGTTCTGAGCTCTCTAGGTGAGTCTGATGCGTGTTCCAATCTCAAGGCCACTGCCCTGTGAATTCCAAACTCTCTGGCTCAGAGTTTTTCTGGTGCCTGGTCTTTCTGATTCCTGCGGAAGCCACTGGCTCCCCCTCAGCACACCAAGCTGAAAGTCCATCAACACCAGAGGTGGCCCTGGGGGACTGTGACTGCATGCTTCTTCCCAGCAGTGTCCACGGTTTTGCTCCCCAAGGAGCCACTCCTGGGAACTTGGAGCTATCACGGCTTGCCTAGTGTGATGGTGAATTTTATCTGTCAACCTGGCTAGGCCATGGTGCCCAGATATTTGGTCAAATATTATTCTGGATGTTTCTGCAAAGGTGTGTTTTTTTGATGAGATTAATATTTACTCTGGGAGGCCAAGGCAGGAGGATAACTCAAGGTCAGGAGTTCAAAAATACCCTGAGCAAGAGCGAGACCCCGTGTCTACTCAAAATAGAAATAAATTAATTGGCCAACTAAAAACATGTAGGAAAAATTAGCCGAGCATGGTGGTGCATGCCTGTAGTCCCAGCTACTCGGGAGGCTGAGGCTGTAGGATTGCTTGAGCGTAGGAGTTTGAGATTGCTGTGAGCTAGGCTCATGCCACAGCACTCTAGCCCGGGCAGCAGAGTGAGACTCTGTCTCAAACAAACAAACAGACACAGGAACAAACATTTTAAATCAGTGGATTTTGAGTCAAGCAGATTGCCCTCTATAACGTGAGTGGGTCTCATCCAGATAGTTGCAGCCCTTGCTAGAACACACACTGACTTCCCAGAAAGAAGGGATTCTGCCAGCAGGCTGCCTTTGGACTCAAACTACCACCCTTCCCTGGGTGTCCAGCCTGCTGGCCGGCCACATCAGACTCTGGACTTGGCCAGGCCTTCACAATCGTGTGATCCAATTTCTTAAGAGAAATCTGATTATCTGTACACACATCCTGTTGATTCTGTTTCTCTAGAGAATCCTGACTCATACACCTAGCATTTGGAAGTCCTTTCTGCTCCTCCTCAAATCCAATGTCCCCGCTTAAAAAAAATTATCTCGCCATCTTTTTTAGTCTCATGGTCAACTTCTCTGTGTCGAGTATTTGAAGGGAAATAATATCCAAAAACCTGACACGTTAAAGATCACAGAGCAAGAGCAGCATGCCAGAAGAGCCAGAATGAATGAAATTCATTGCTTTTTCTTAAAGTTGAATCTTCTTATTGGACTTTGCTATCTGTTGCAAGATATCAGGCATCTCTTTTAGTGGTTGCTGCTAAACATGGCAAATTTATAACATCAAAGTCTTCTTGCTGAAGTTGACAACTTTTTTCTTATTCAAATTAATTAACTTAAATTAATTTGAATATTCAATTTTCTACTTAGGTAGTAGGACAGAATTTTTTCTTCCCTTCCTCCTTCCCCAGTCCCAGCAATTCTCCTCTCCTGGGGTCTACTGTGTACTGAAGTTGAGGCTTAGTAACAGATATAGGCTTAGTAATGCAATACAGGGCCCCCCACTTTTTAGCATAATAATACTTTTTAAGCTTAATGCACACAGTAAACTGCTAAGAAAAGCTCATTTTTTTTAACACCGTGAAGGCCTATGTGCCTTGTGGACGCCTCATCTCTAGGACTGGAGCCTTCCTCCCACCCCATGAGGAGGGGAACGGAATGATTGTGCAGGCGGAATGGATGCTGCGGAGGGGCCCAGGAGCTGGATGGCTCTCAGGTGTGGAGCCCAGGGGCCTCCATTTGAGCCTAGGGAGTCTGGACAGGATGAGTTCAAGAGCGAAGGGAGACACTCCCAAACCACTGTGGACTCTGGCCTGAAAGATTGATGTGACCATAAAGTAAAGAAGTGCTTTGTACAATCTCCTGGACTTTGAGTGTGAGCATAATAAAGGTCTAGGATATAATTTCTTAAAGAAAAACACGAACATTGCATTAAGAAAACTGAAGTGGTTTTTGTTTGTTTGTTTGTTTTGTTTTTTATCTCTCCCTGTCTTGTGAAGCGAGGTGGACCACACACCATGGAGAAAGCTGGCAGGCCACAGCTCACCGAGTTTGGGAGCCCAGCTATGAGGTTCACACTTGTCCCCATACCAGTGATCCTCCCAAGTCTCCTTTCCGGTAAAGAGGAAAATTCAGGAATAGAGTCTGACTATAGACTTGTAATCACCACCCTTGTACCCTGAGGTTCTCATGTTGCAAGTGTCCTTGTGGCAGCTGTGCAAAGCCCAGCAGATGAGAAAATTCATTTTTTCTGATTCAGAAAGTCTAAATGCACAGGAACACTTGCTGAGCATGAGAGGAGAGGCATGCACCATGTGGGCTCTGAGTGGGATGGCAGAGACAAACAGCTGATGCTTTTGCTGAGCCAAAATCCAGTTTAAGGTCCGGGAAAAAATTACTGAGTACAAAAGTTAGTCTTAGAAATTTTATTTCACTCCCACAGCTTTCTTTCTCATAAGTCTGAGACACCACAATGGAGAAGACGACATTCTCATTTTTGAGCTCTGCTTGTTTCATCCAGTCCTCCCTATTCTACATAATTCTAAACCTTTCAGGGTATTTTTATGCATGAAATTATTTTATTTTCAAAATAGAGATATTTCCATAAATAATTAAGTAGTTATATACTGAAAATAGATATATTCTCAAGTAAAATTGATAATTTCTTGAGGTAGAGCATCAGCTGATTAGGTAAAATTTAAGTTTGAATGGCAGGTTTATTAATTGGAATCGTGTGGTTGCAAGCATCAGAAAGCATTTCCTATTACATTAGCTCACATATCTGGAAATAGATAAACTTTTTGTTACTTTTTAGATTTTGTAGTTGTCAGTGTTTTGTGTTTCCCCTGGTAGTTTTATTTTTCCTTGGTTAACTAAATGAGCTGACATCCCAGCCAAAATGTCTATAGTTTGGTAATGCTTCCATTCAATTGTATGATATATCAGAATAAAGACCTGTCTACATAGTCTAGCCAGCAGGTATATGAGTTTGTTTTGAAGTCTGAGAATGTGGATCATGTAGCTCAAAGTGACAGTGTGTCACAAGGTTTTAAACTTTGATTTGATTATCCAAGGTGCCAAGGACTGTAGCTCTTTTGCTTTTACCTGTAGTTGATGGGATAGAGAAGACCAGAGAGGCTTCCTAAGGGGCAGAGCAGCCAGCCTTACTTGTGGAAGAGCTCTAAGAAGCATGGCTCTGTGGTTGATTTGCTTGGAAGTGTGGACAGTGGGGAACAGGGGAGCATGGTGCCCTCGCCAAGCTCCCAGCCAGCCTCACGGAAGGCCCTGGCATCCCAAGGCCTCATGCGCCCCTGCAGCAGTCCTTAGGAGGAAGAGGTGGCTCAGTGGCACTGACAGTGCCTGATATGGGTGGTGGTGACCAACTAGAGCTGGGACAGGGGCCAGCAGATGACAGGGAAAGCAGAATCAACATTGCAACTCGGTGAGTACATGTGAAACACCCAAAAATATTTCCCAGACACTTTGAGGGTCCGGAAGATCAAAATCAGGAAGTAGAGATAATAACTGGTGTGAGATAGGAAATATATATATATATATATATATATTTTTACTATTTTTGATATTGTTATCACATCCCTTTTATTCCAAAATAAATGAAGAGTTTCATATAAAAATTAAGAGATGCCATACAAAAAAGGCCTCCTCTACTCACAATCAAATCTCTGATTTATCGACTTGGATTATCAGGCGGCTAGGTCAAACTTCAGTTTGAACAGCCTGGTGTTCAAACAGATTACTTTCTGTAGCAGTTAGTGTTCTGTAGTTGCAAGCAACAGAAAATATCTCTGATTAACTTGAGGGGCAAAAATGATTTATTGGCAGAATTCTTGTGATGATTAATTTTAGTGTCAACGTGGCTAGGCCGTGGTATTCAGTGTTTGGTCAAACACCAGTCTAGGTGTTGCTGTGAGGGTATTTTTTAGATGTGATTAACATTTACATAAGTAGACTCTGTGTAAAGCAGATTGTCCTCATTATGTGAGTGGGCCTCACTCAGTCAATTGAAGGCCTTAAGAGAAGGCCTTCTTCCCCTGAGTGGCCCTTAAGGAAGAAGGAATTCTGTTTCTACACTGCCTTTGGACTTAAGTGGCAACATCAGCTCTTCCCTAGGGCTCCAGCCTGTGGGCCTACCCTGCAGATTTTGGTCTTGCCAGCTGCTATGATTGCCCAAGCCAATTCCTTAAAACAAATCTCTCTCTCTCTCCACACACACACACACACACACACACACACACACACACACAATTGCTTCTGTTTCTCTAGAGAACCCTGACTGATAAATACAGTGCTGAAGGAAAGCTGAACAAGCAGGCCTGGGGAATGTCAGAAACAAGTCACCTCTAGGGACCTGGGCATGTACCATTGCTTATACCATGCCGCCATTAGACGACTTCTCAGCAGCCATGTTCTATGCCAGTGTCTATTCAACTTCCCAGTAGAGGAAGTATCTGCTGAGTCTTCCTCTTCCCAAGGTGTGGGACTCACTTGCAACTCACAGCCCCCTGCATCATCAGGAGCAGGACAGAGCAGAGGGAGTCAGGGGTGCTACTGCTGGATGAAAGGCAGAGAGGAAAAGGTCAAAGCAAAACAATAAATGTTCCCTATAATGAGGTTCCCCAAGAGTGGATACTTGGATATCAAAGCACACCTGGAAACAGCACCTCTCAAAAGCTACCTTTGGCTGACACGGGCCCTCCGGACCATCACCTTTGCACGGGAAGGACAGGACACCTCCCTGCCCAGCGCCTGTGTTCTGTGCAGAATGGCCAATACAAGTTGTTCGTGGTCATCCTTTAGGAAAAATATCTCACAGAGGTGCATTAGTTTCATGTGAAATCCACCCAGAATAAGATATATAAAACAAACAAGTTAGTCCAATTAGTAGAAAGTTGTAGAATTTGATATGAAAATGTGCAAATTATTTCCTGTTTTTTCTCAGCCCACACACTTGTCCTTGTACACGCTGAAGTTCTGGGCTTGAGAAGCTTCAAACTACATTTCCCAGGCTCCTTTGCTGGCTGATCTCTGTGGGCTCCACCAATGGGAGCACAGCAGGAGACCAGGCGGCAGAGGCCTGGGGAGGCCTGCTCTGACCCTAATGATGTGGCGGTTGTTGGCAGGTGGGGCGGTTGCTGTGGAGGCAGCTGAAGTGAGGTCATTCCTATGCCCTAGAAGCCCATACAGAGGCAGAACCTTTTCAGTGGTTCCATCTCTTTGATGGATTTAGAACCAACTGCAACAGTGGCTCCAAAATCTGGGCAGCACACACAGCGTCCCGCACTTCAGCTCAGGGCGGTCGCAGCAGCTTCTGGCCTTTTCCTGGCTGTTTCTATCTTTTTGTTTCTCCAGCACCCTTCCTTCTTCCTTTTGCTCTTGCAGATCTTCTAACCACTTTGTTAAAAAAAAAATAAAAAAATCCCACAAATTGAATTTCCTCCGTTTGAAATACCTGGAGTGTTTTCTGTCTATCTGCATGAATGCCAACTGACTCAAAAGCATTAAGTGCTATTTTTGAGTTCGAATGTAAGGAGAGTTAATTCCCATATTTAATTCTGGCTCTGTTTAAAAATTTGAGCAGACAGTTTACAGTGGCAGATGTTAGAGGATTTGAGCCTCCTCCGTTTTTTTGTGTTTGGGGTTTTATCAAGAAAAACTCTCAGGGGCTAAGTAGTATCTTTAGGACAGTCCCGGGCGGAAGCGCACAGCAGAGGCACACAATCTGGCTGAGAAGGCACAGCCTTCTGTGTATTCCTGGGAGCTGCTCTAGTGGGACCTGCCCTAGTCTGTGATCTCTGGCCGGCTTGACACCTTTGCCTTCTTATTTCTTGCCTCACCTGGAAGAGTTCTCGGTCCCTCCAGCGTGACTCCACTGCCAATCCTGCCACCACTCTGTGGAGTCTAGAAGCCTGATCCCGGTCACCCCGCCCCCACAGCCCTGCAGTTTCCGGGCGGGATGCCGGGAGGCTCTCGCAGACCGAGTCCAGGCACACTGCGCTTCCCCAGATGCAGACGAACAGGCGCTGATGTTGAGACAGTAAAGTTTGCTCGCCAAAGCAGCAGCGATTCAATACTGAGGAGGCTGTGGTGAGAGGTGGTCTCCTATACGCGGATGGGCGTGTACGTGGAAGCTTTTCTGGAGTGAGGTTTGTCAGTATGTATCATTAATCCAGATCTAGAAACTCCACACCTGGGATCCTACTCTAGAGACTAATTTAAATTTGGGTTTAGGAGCTGGAATGCATTCAGCTGCCAATGACAGAAAGCTCTATTAGCGTGACTGCGATAATTAGGCGTTTATTGCTCAAGTATTAAGTTTGATAGTAAGAAATCATGGAAGTGGTTTGGTGTCTCCGCAGTATAATGAAGGACCCAGGATCTTTCTCTTCCCACTCTGCCGGCCACAGTTGCGGGGGAGGGGAGAGTCGTCTCTCCTCATGGAGACACACTCAGCTGTTGCAGGTTGCAGCTCGGGCATCCTGTCCTCATGTGACAAGGGCCACACAGAAAAGAAGGAAATAGGGGCAAAACAGGACTTCTGTAAAAATCGCCTTTCCCAGAAGCCTCTGGAACACTTCCCTTGGCCCCCTAGACACGTCCTGAAGTAAGGGCCGTGAGACTGCCGTGAGGGGTCTCAGGCCACCCAAGGCTCTGCAGGCACCAGGCTGCCAGAATAACACTGTGTAGTATTCCAGGGGAGGGAGGGCGAATGGCTTTTGGGTAAGTGGCCAACAATGTCTGCCACAGGGAACCAAAATTTTCATACAAAGATATTTGATGTGGTGTTATTCATAGATATAAAGAAATGGAAACTTATGTGGTTAAGAAATTATGGCACATTGAAGGCTGAG